CACACAGTTGCGAACCATTTCAACTCCCCCTCCCATTCCTCAGATGACATTCCATCCTGGGCCTCCTGCAGTGCCACAACAATGCCACCCGAAGGTTGCAGGAACAGCAACTCATATTCCGCTTGGGAACCCTGCAGCCCAATGGTATCAATATGGATTTCACAAGCTTCAAAATCTCCCCTCCCCCGACTGCATCCCAAAACCAGACCAGCACGTCCCCGCCTCCCTAACCTGTTCTTCCTCCCACCTATCCCCTCCTCCCACCTCAAGCCGCACCCCCATTTCCTACCTACTAACCTCATCCCGCCCCCTTGACCTGTCCGTCCTCCCGCGACTGACCTATCTCCTCCCTAACTCCCCACCTACACTCACCTTTACTGGCTCCATCCCCGCCTCTTTGACCTGTCTGTCTCCTCTCCACCTATCTTCTCCTCTATCCATCTTCTTTCCGCCTCCGCCTCTCTCCCTATTTATTTCAGAACCCCCTTCCCCTCCCCCATTTCTGATGAAGGGTCTAGGCCCGAAACATCAGCCTTCCTGCTCCTCTGATGCTGCTTGGCCTGCTGTGTTCATCCAGCTCTACACCTTGTTTTCTTGGATAACTGCAAAGCCTGAGGCGCCTTGAAAAGGCACCATCTGAGTCCCTGCACCTGCCTCACTCACAATCCTACCCTCCTGTCAGTGACCACTGACCAAATCAAGAGACTCTAACCGAAGGAGTGTGACCATCTTCTGGAACAAACTGCCTCGGCAACATTTTCCCTCCCTAATGCATTCTAGTGTCTGCAATCTGGCATCCAGCTGATAAATTCTGAGCTGAATTTACTGCAGTTACAAACAATTACTGCAGACGTGTCCACCCTGGATCACAATGGCATTTAGAAGCACCCATATCTTGCAACCGTAACACATAACCTGCCTTGTCATCCTTCCCCCTCCTTAGTAGGAGTTTGCTGTGCACAAATTCGCTGTCACGGGACCAGCATTACAGCAATGACCACACTTCAAAAATTGCTTCATTGGTAGTAAAGTGCTTTGGAATGTCTAGTAGTTGTGAAAAGCACTATACTTTTTTTCAATTTGGTTATTAACTCTTAACTCACCAACATGTCCCGCACTCACCACTGTTGTGAACTCTCAATATTAGGTTAAAATGTCAAAAAATAGAAAACATAAATGAGTATCACCCTGTCATAATTCCTATCCACAGAAGTCTCAAGAACTTTCACATTATTTTGTTAAATAATGGTGAAACATTGAACTTTTAAACAGCAAAGCTTTACCTTCACATTTTGTCACTTTGCATGTGCAGAAATTATGAATGTCAAGATTGATTTTTTATTAACTTGTATCTCCTGTTGCTTTATTTCCCCTTTTAAATAATTACATAAGATGTAATGTGTAACTTGCTCTTGATGTCTTGGTTGAATAATAATCTACATTAAGATTTTTAAGCAATACCATTACAAAAGGTTTAAAATCTAATAGTAAGTTGTGCTTTTAGTGATAGGGCTATTGTTCAGAAATTCAATACTTAATTGGGCCAATTCATTGCAATATCTGTATGGTTTTCATTTCATTTTCTCTGTTTCTCAAGGACATTTATAAGTCTCCAAGAAGGTTATGCAAGATTTAAAATTGCATGACAAGAAATTTAGAATATTGAACATGATGTCTGTGTTTGACTGTATTGTAATTTTTGTGTTATACTTTAATACATGTTCGAAGATGGAATTGAGGTCAAAGCTTCAAAGATGTTCAACAATCAAGTCTGAGAGCTTTATATATTTTTAATGGAATATTTAAAATCTTTTCTCATGTATTCTCATGAACAACTTTGGGAGTAAAGGAACTAGTGAAATCATTAGAATCCAGCATCAATGTTAAATGATTGCTCTGTCTCCTTTTTGAAAGCCATGTATATTTGTCTAGGTCAAGAAGCACACCTTTCTCCGAGGTCTCCGAGGTTCCATTGTTCTCCCCAAAAATGAATGAGTGTTGCCTCATTGATCCCACTCTGTTCTCTGAATTGGGAGATCATAGTTCAAACCTCACTTCAGTGGCTTCAGCATGTAATTTACGATGATGTTTAAGTGCAGTATTGAGAGAGTGCTGCTTTGGAAGAAGTGCTGCCTCTTGAATGAGATATTAACCAAGATCCTGCTCTCTCAGATGACTTTTTTTTAAGCATATCTCGTCTGTTCAGTTCTCAAGTTCATATACAAAATGTCTTAACCTGCCTTCTTGCTATGACTGCTGAAAATCGAATGTCTTCTGCTTTTATTTTACAAGTTTATTCAAATGTATTAATTGCCTAAATACCTTTAAAAAGCTGACAGCTAATAAGTCAATTATTAAAAACTTAGAATGTAGGATTTTAGTATTCAAGGTTGTTAACTTAAATCCACACTTTGTAATTACAAACATTACAGCTTTGCTTCTCTTCAAATTATTGCATTCTCAAATGACATCACTACAATAACCTATTGAGAACATTAGAACTGAATAAAAATTGGCAATAATGGTATATAGATCATTATTTTTTCAAATATTATAGTTTTAATAAAGGACATTAGTCTGTCGTGAATTTTTTATTTATTTTGACTAGTCTTTCTAAACTTCTGAAAGTGATGTGCTGCCTTTACATATTGCATGTTAAAATCAAACTAGGAAAGAATAAAACTTGTTGCGGCAATTTTCACACTCACTACTTTGTGATAAATCGGTTGTGGATTGCCATTATGGAATCATTTGACAATCACTTTTATTTGTTTCAGAGCTTTTGTAAATTGGAGAGTTTGTATAACAAGTTAGTGATCCTATCCATTAGTTTACTGACTAAGCTATCAAAGTTATCTCCCATTATTACTTTGGGGACTTACTTCCATTTGCCAGAATAATACCCATAAATTGCACCATTCGTTTGAATACATTGCCATTGTGGGAATGCAACAGAGGTTCAATAGGCTGATACCGAGGATGGTAGGACTGCGCGATGAGGAGAGATTGGTTCAACTGAGCCTGTATTCACTCGAGTTTGGAAGAATGAGAGGAGAACCTGATTGAAACAGATAAAATTCTAGCATGGCTAGACAGACTAGATGCAGGGAAGATGTTTCCCTTGTCTGGGGAGTCTAGAATCAGGGGTCATATGGTGTAGGCCATTTAGGATTGAGATAAGGAAACATTTCTTCACTCAGAGGGTGGCCAGCCTGTGGAATTTGATATCACAGGAGAGTGTGGAGACCAGGTAACTGATATTATTCAAATAAGTGATTGATAAACATTCAACTATTAAAAGCATCAAGCAGTATGGAGAGAATGCGAGAATATGGCGTTGATTTAGAGGTTCTGCTGTGATCATATTGAATGGTGGATCAGGCTCAGAGAGCCAAAAGGGACTACTGCTGCCCCTTGTTTCTGTGTTTCTATTCTATTTCATAATTCTTCGGTGATGTTGGCCCCTGTAAAGGATGCTTTGGTCAGTTTTTTTCTCACCTAAATATTCAAAATAAATTCCTCTTTTCCTAAATTCCTGCAGGACTCCCCCTTGCTTGTGGATTCTTCACAGAATGTGACTGTTAATGCTCGTAACTCTGAAGGACAAGTCACAGGCAGATTAACAGTGGGTGAGTATTGTTTTACAATCTGCTTACAAACCTGCTTGTTCAAACGTGTCTCACAATTTTAAAGAACACAATCAATTCAACAATATGTGTCTTGAGATTGCCTGTGTCACATGAAAAGGCCAAATGGTTGGAGGGGGTGAGCAGTGCATATCAGAGTCTGAAATTAGAATATGTCATTTGGATCATTTAAATAAATCATTTACATTGCATGGGTAGCCCTTAACTCAATGTAATAATAGCTTGAGCTCTATGAATTGTACTTGATAAAGTGAGTGCTTTGGGCTAACAGAGTATGCCAAAAGTTAAAAGCAAAATCTTTACCATTAATAGCTCTGAAACCTTTTTGAAGTTGATGCACAACAAGGACTAAGGCTGTTTAAGATCTTAAAGAAATGCTTGAAAATTATTGTATTGAATTTCTGATAGGATTATTATATCCACTTTATCATACTTTACAATATATTTAGAAGAGAAAGTCCCATGGCTACCAAGGAAGAACCCAACTCTTAAGTGATAAGAAAGTTGGTCAAGTTATATTCCTTGCCTTCAAACAATGATAAATTGTTTGTAAATCACCTGTACCAAAGGGTTGTGCTAGTTTTTGCAATAATTCCTTTGTCTATACACATAAGCTTCATACTGTAACACAACTATATGAAATTTAGCTGTATATCAAATATTGTTTGCAAAAATTATACTGACTTGCCTCCCTCATGGTTCAGTGCATAAATACACCAGGTGGTACTGAAACCATTTTTGTTTTTACTCCATAATTTTCATCTGCTAGATGTCAATAGGAAGTTACCCATTGAATGGCAAAATTAGTTCCATGAGTAATTTTCTTTGCTGGATACATGTGCAGTTATTCAATGTCACATCAAACACTGCAGATTGAAAACAAAAGAGGGCTTCAATTTTATCCATAGTACACACAGGCTTCTTTGGATTCAGCAGGAATGATCACAAGGACCTCATGGTTCACAGATTGAAGAATTTAAAGGTAATCGCCATCTGAATTTTGTGTGTATGTGTAACTGTTTTGGAGAGAAAATACTAATACTCTCAATCATTCTGTCTTAGTTAATCAAACTGGAAACCAGCAGAAGTTGCTATGAATTTATAAGTTATGACTATTTACAGTTGCATTGGGTAATAACTGAGATTCAGCATTGATTTGTTTCAGGCAAATCATATTTGACATATATGAGTAGTTTCTTTTTAATAAGTGACTATATGAATAAAAGTAGATGCAGCAAATGTGTGTACATAGATTTTCAGAAAGATAGGTGAGAAAAATTTCTTTTGGTGAGTGCCACTTTGCCATGCAGATTATGTTAATTGCCTGCCACTTTTCCATGCAAGCTACATTAATTCCCTGGAGACAGATGGTCCTATCAGCCACTATCTCCATGCTTCAGGTGGCGTTCCTCCATAATATTGATTATTAAATCAGGTAATAGACCATGGTGCTGACTGTCTCTGGGGAACTGACACAGTGATACTGAAGCAACATTACAAGACTGAATTTCTCCCCAGTGCGTTCCAGCTCAACCACTCCACCACTTCTCTCAATTTTTCCAATGTCTGTGCTCTGTTAGATTGCTGACTTGGCATCCAGCCTTAAGCTGAATATTAGGAAACCTAAGTAATTTTTTTTATGGACTCTGCAACCTGTACTATTCCTTCTTCACCAATTCTATCTACTTCCCCAGTCACTGAGCCATCCTTTATCAAATGATTCAGGGGAGACAGTGGCATAATGGTACTGTCACTTGGCTAATGGCCCAGACACCAAGGCTGGAGAGGTGGGTACAAATCTCACCGTGACAAATGGTGAATCAATGAGAATCTGGATTTCTTTTTTTTAAAATGCTAGCCTAATGCCAACCATGGGACCATTGCTAATTGTTGTAAAAATCTAGTTGGTTTACTAATATCCTTTAGGCAAGAAAATCTGTTATCCTTACCTGGTCTGGCTGATATGTGATTCTAACCCAGAGAAACGTGTTTGGCTTTTTCCTGCCCTCTGAAATAGCCATAGCAAGCCACTCAGTTCAAGCAATAATTAGGGATGGGCAATAAACTTTGGTCCAGCAAGCATTGGCCGTATCCCATGAACGAATAAAAAGCAATTCACAACTTCAAGACTCTGTTCAAATCTGTGCTGAGTTTCAGTCCAATACACTATCTCTAAATGAAATACAGCTCGCTTCCAGCTGCATAGCACTGGCCACCTCTGCTGCTGATCACACACCACCTTCTGCAAAAACCTTCTTTAAATATGTGTCATGTACAGACATGACCATGTCGTTATAGTCTTAGTTTTTCTTCCATCCTCTATAAACGTCAACTCTGGAAAAGCTCTGGCATTTCTGTTTCTACAATATTGCACATTCCCATCATAGCGATTGTAACAAGGTCAGTCAGATGGACCTCATAGAATATGAGTTCCCTGATTGGGCAGATAATCTGGTCCAATCAGGAAGCCCTGGCTGACAGATATAAACAGGAGTGACAGACATCCTGTTCACTCTGAGAACAAGCTCTGAAGGAGCTGTACCAGTGTCAAGTACTATGCATGTGCAAATAAAGGGGGACTTGGTGATGTGATACTGGCCTCTATGGAGTTATTTCACTCATCACCTCCAGCATTGTTGACCTATATTGTCTCGCAATTCAACAGCGTCTCAGAATTAAAATTCTCATCTGCATTCTCTAGCCCTTTCACTTCTGTGTGTCTCAAAGACATGAACTTTCAAATTTGTTATTTCTCTGATTCAGGAATCCATCCCTTCTATTAAGTCAGTATTCACAGCCATGCAAAAGTGAAAAGGTCCAAATGCTGGAAATCTGAATTAAAAACAGAAAATGTTGGAGAAGCTCAGCAGGTCTGGTAGCATGTGTGGAGAGAGAAACAGCATTGATGTTTCGAGTCTAATGTTTTTATTCATAACCATACCTTCAGTTGCCTAAACTCCCGCTTCACAAATCCTTTCCTACTTTAAGCCCTTTCCAAGCCTGTTGTGACTCATTGCTTGTAATATCACTCTCTTTGGCTTAATATCCATTTCTTACAGCACATCTGTGAAACACTAGGGATATTTTTCCAGCCCAGAAGCATTATATCAATCTAAAATATTGCATTGCTGGTGGTGTTGATTTTGGTCCCCTAATTGAGAAAGGCTGTTAAATTCATCGAGCGTGTCGATTCACAGGGATGAGGAGACACTGATAGCATTTTCACTGCAGCTGAGAAGGCTATCAGCAATCCTAATAGAGGATTTTGAGAAGCTGAGTAGGAGAATTCTGGTTGGCAAAATCAATGAAGAGAGGTCAATTGGAAAGAGAGCAAGAAATGAAGATTGAAGAAATTCAATATACAAGGAGCTGCCACAGCCTGTAATGCTTTGCCGCAGGAAGTAGTTGTGGAAGCAACAATTGCATCTTTAAAGGGAAGTGTAGATAAGTAATTTAAGCAAAAGGATACATGTCCATGGGCAGTGAATTAGACAAAGGGGTTCAATTTAGATTGCCCTAGCAAAGAGCTGACACAGAAATGATGAATTAAAAGACTTCTACTTGTGTTGCAAAATTGCAGCGATTCTATTGTCTATAAAATTCAGCATAGTTTAATTATGTTTACCTAAAAGAAAAGCTCATACCAACAATAATTGCTACTATTTGCAAGAGCATATGGCAGTAACTATTACCAGACTTTGATTAAGTTGCCAGCTTGTCTATTGCCTTGCATGTTATCAAGATTTATGTTGAAATGTAGTATTTTCCAGGCTTATGAGCATTCTACTTGAGTGTCTGAATAAATCTGGTGCACTGTTAGTATCCAGGGAAGTAGTTCAAGTGTAAATCTATACATCATGTCACAATATGACAGACAGTCTACAGCTATGCCTTTTATCACTGAAATTATTGAATTAATAATTTTTTAGATAAATATAAATTGTAAAATAGTGTAGACTTGTAAAGCCTACAGAGGAAGAACTGTCTCTGTTGTGATACATATTAGAAAATGATATTGTATTCAAAGTATTAACTTTTTATCTAAAACATTATAAATAAATTCAGGGGGCCATATAGAGGGCATGATATAGAGAGCTTGAGTCATATTTGTGATAATATGACAAGCAATATATTTTAATATCTTCATATAGGAGACTAGCAGTCACTTTAAATGTGACTTATTGTGAGCTGCTTTCTCAGACCACAAAAAATATATCTTATCTTTAGGAATATACAAGATAATCTCATAGGGGCTTGTAATACCTTAGTTGGTAGGGCTGCAAAATGCCTTAAACCTTTTTGAACTTGTTATAGGATAAAAGGCTAGCTTTGAATCAGGCAAAAGGGAGTGTGGTGGTGTGGGGGGAGTGGCATTTTGTTTGTGGAACAATCTTCTAGCTACAAAGAGTCTGATGTGGATTTATATTTGGAAGTCTGTGCCCAGCTCAGTAGTTATTCTGAAGTCATCATGGATAAGGGCAGACCAACAATGAACTGTCATGTCACGGTTTCAATCTAGAGTGTGTGAGCAAGAGAAACTATTTTATTGTTTTACTATCCCAAGAAGATGCACTCAAGTATATAAATTTGTACATCTATTATTTGCTAGTACTTGTCATTCATATATTTATTTACTTTCTAATAATAAAGCTGTCTAATAGTTTACCAAGTCAAATCACACAACACCAGGCTATAGTCCAACAGGTTTATTTGAAACATAAGCTTTCAGAGCGCTGCTACTTCATCGGGTGCAGTGAAGGGGCTGCTCTCCACAAGCTTGTGATTTCAAATAAACCTGTTAGACTAAAACCGGGTGTTGTGTGACTTCTGACTTTGTCCACCCCAGTCCAACACCAGCACCTCCACATCATAATAATTTATAGGCTAAGTGTGCATTCTTTTACCTTTCCACAGCAATATTACATAGTGAATTCCATTGACGTAAGTTTTATCTGCTGTTTAGCTTTGCTGCTTGCACCTAG